TCATAATAGTTAAACACTCTAGTTTATAATTTTTTTTAAGTAAGGGTACTTTAGTATTTACACAAACTTATTTTTTAATTATTTTCGTAATTAATTAATTAAGAGGACACGTGGCAGGATTTTAAAGTGGAACCTAATGTTAGGTAGGTACGAAGCTGGTACGAGGCAAATCTGATAATAGAATTACCCGAGATAGTTAGGCCTTTTTACTTAATTGTACTTAATTGAAAAGGACAGGATATTGTTTTGTTCGGTTTTGCTATGAAGTCAAATAGTTGGCTCTATAATAATGTCAACCGTCTATATACAACAAGTAAACTTATCATATTCTCTGATTACTTAAATAACACTAATATAATTTTATTAATATGGTAGGTTTATTTGTTGTATATAGAAGGTTGGCTCAACTGTTGAGCCAATTGTTGACTTCATAGAAAAATCGTTGTTTTGTTAGTTAACCGACATTATCGACCTTATTCCACGTTTGTTATTATTGATAACACATCGGATTTGATCTACGTGGCATGTGGTGGCCCACCAACTAATCAGGTTATTCTTGATAATTTTATTCGAGCTTGGACCTAAGATATTTTTATCCTAATACCTTCCCGAGTTACTAAAATATTCTGGCAAATGTCTTAAGAGCCCTTTTAGATTGAATTATTTACAAACATTTACCATCAAGATGAACTGGTTGATGTCGAGTAGATGGCGACGAGAATCCTAATTTCATAATCAGAAGGTTAAACCAGAAACTTCATATATCATTTTGTTGCAGAGTCCTAATTTCAGAATCCCCGCTCTATATGTGCCCAAATGAACCCTAATTGCAGAATCCATCGTGACCTCCCCAGTTGCGCCACAACGTCCATGAACGCTTGTGAGCTGCAGGGTCCAAACCAACCGGGGCCGCATTAAGGTCTTCGCGGGCTCGTCGGATCCAGCGGCCATCGCGGCCCCACTCAGCTCTGAAATGTCGTCTCTTTTGTTTAACGGGCCTCATTCTGGTGTCAACGTTCAACTTGTGCTCAGCCACTCTAGGATCAACGCCCACGTGCTCCTTTGGTGAAAACGCAAATATATCCACATACTCCCTCAGCAAATTAGGTCAACTTTAAAATCGTCCGCCAATTCCTTTTCAACCTTCGTAATTTTTTTTGGCTCTCATTCGACCAACTCGATTTCTATTAACTCGTTCTAGAGAATCGGGCCTCGTTTTCCCTACTTGAGCTCTACCCCTCGCACTTCTGTTTATGTCCCGCCTTTAACATTGTCTGATAATAAGTCCTAGCTGACCGCTGGTCCCCAATGACCTCTTCCACTAGGTCTCCCATCGGGAACTTTATTTTCATGCAATCAATCGACACCGCTTCTTGGAAAGAGTTTAAGCTCGGCCGACCTAGGATGACATTATAAGCTAATTCTGTCTTTACTATCAAAAATTGTACCATCTTAACTTTCCTTAGGGGATGAGCTCCCAAAGCAATCAGTAAATGCCCCACCTCGGCCCCACTGCAGCCGAACAAAGAGGTTCTAATAAGCTTGATCTCAACATCTAGGTCCATCTGCCTGAAACACTCGAAGAACATGATGTTCGTTGAGCTCCCAATATTAATGAAGACCCTTTCAACGTCATAACCTGCAATTTTCGTTGTTACCACCAAAGCATCATCATGGGGAACCAAAATACGTTGCGAATCATTAGCTCCAAACTTCAACTCCAGCGTGTTGTGAGCAATTTGGACCTCCGCTACCCCAAGCACATCTCAGGTTAACTCGCCTAGCATTGTTGGAATCATCATTCATCGACCCCCAACAATCATGTGTATCACCCCCTTCGTAGGAGACCTCACCTGGTTCATTTGGCCTTCTTCTTTAATCGTCTACCTCCTTCTTCTCCATATCTTGGACAAACTCCTTCAGATGTTATGCTCTTATAAGCCTCTCTATTTCATCCTTGAGTTCATTACATATGTTCTCTCAATGCCTGTAATCACGATGGTACCTACAAAAAAGTTCTCCTCTGACCCATACTTTTTCCTTCCTCTTAGATAAAGGTTGAGGCTTCCCCAATATGCTAGTATCTCATTTCTTCTCTAGCATTTCGTACATATGACCTCTTGGGAACACCAGTGGTGTATAGTGCTCATACTTAAATCCCATACGCCATTTTCTCATCGTCTCTAGCATCTCGACCTCTTGATGGCCTCTTATCGGGCTTGTGCCTATACTTTTGCTTCTTTCTCTTAGCTCAATCATTCAAAAGAAAGTCTGTCTCTGTCTCCTCCATGTTCATATATTGGTGCACCTCTCTAATAGCTTGTCATATGACCTAGCTAGCTTTTTAGCTAGAGAATTTTGGTAGTGACCTGGTCGGAGACCTTGCATGAGACTTCCTGTTTTGTCCCTCAAGGATTCACTCTCGCGCTACAACATATTGATTAGTATGAGGAGGTTTTCTCATGCTTTCAAACACTATAAAGTTGGTTGATGAACAAAGACCTTCAAGGTCGTCAAAAAGGCCCTGCAACACACTGCATCACTATATCGGTGCAAGACCGACACATTCAAAAAGCTCCTCAAATGCCAATCTGGATCTGAGGACCCATTATAAAACATGCTCGACTCCTAGAATTTTTGAGGTAGATCAGCATCCAAGACATCATCAGAAAAGGGATGACTATGCACCTGCGGCGGTCGCCGCCGCTTAACTTTGGCTTGGAGCTCCTAATTTGACCAGCCATGCACTTCAACGTCATGTCTCTTGGCAGCCTAGTAGCCATCGAAGAGACAATAGACCTCTCATCTCGCTCCTTTCGCCTTCTACTACTGCACACTGTCAGCCTCTACACCACCGGAATATGTTGCTCCACTACCGGGACTATCTGTTGAGCCCCTTCCACCAATTGATCCACCACCGATTCTGGTTGCTCAACCACCATTACCAGATTCTCCACCGCCACCTGAGGCTACGGCACCTTCGCCCTACCAATCGCCTCCGTAATAATTCGATCTAACTCTATTTAGTTAACTGTATCACTTGATCACTACCACCTATGATAGCTCATGGACCTGGTGTCTGCGCAACAACCTCCTTCCCCTTCCCCTTCCCCTGACAGACAAAACCCCGATCTAGCTCCAGCGTCAGCATCTGGTTCACCCCGTGCAAGGTCAGGTAAGGGGTAACCAGTGCACCTTCACCACCAACGTATTCCATAGGTGGTCCTACACCGTATGACGTCTTGGTTGCGCAAACCTCCTCCAAGCTTTCGTCTAAATTTCTTCTCAGCCTCTCGTCCTCCATAGTCGTCTTTTCCATCATAGCTTCCTCTGCCACCAGTAGAAAACATAGTTACCCTACAGAACAACGCCAATTGATGTGCAGTTGCACCTTGAACTAGCTCCCCATGACCCCTCGACCGAGGTGCTGTTTGGAGGCCTTCAAAGATGTCCGGAGATGTTCCTGGCGTTAAACCTCCGACGATCAAGTCAGTAAGGTGATATGGAAA